CCTGGCCACCGGCCCGAAGATTGTATCTCTCTGGTGGAGCGTTACACGCGAAAATCGAACTTTAACCCCTCCGTCGCGCGACTACCCACCTGCTACTTCACACACCGAATTCAGGCTCGGTGCACAAGAGCTGGCTGTTTCTATGATCAATCGTGGGCATAAAGGCCCGTTTACACGTATAAATGGTGTTTCCTAACTTGGTTGCATAGAAATTCACGCAAGTGGACCGTGTTGGTGTACAAGGAATCTTCGATGAGTGTTTCAAGGTTTTTTGAGCACTGACAAGGAGAGCTCCAAAGGGGGAACACTGATTTTTTAATGATGTTTAGCACAGTGATAGAGCTGGGAATTCTGAAGCCAATGTGATTTGTTTCAAGGTTCTGTTTAGAACTTGTAGGTAATGCAGAAGTCAGATCGCGCAAATTCATTCAGACGTGTGAACGGGCCTTTACAGACGATGGGAATAAGGGAAAGATGTTTCACACGCGGAGTGTGTACATACATGACGGTGTAGAAATGGTACGTTTGAGTGGAGAATATTGTCAGGCACGGTGTTGGATTACACGTTAGGATATCGAACCAAGTGACGGATGATCATAATAGATGAATGGTGTATGTATGGTACACTGAATACGAGATGGTTGTAAAGCTATGGTTGGGTAGAGGCTCACGAAGAATGAACCGTCTGACGCGTGACGGACGATTCTACTTTCTAAGAATTTTAGACGATTTCTGCCGACAACGTAGATCAGAAGTCGGCAAACTTTTGAGAAGAAAGAGCCAAACCTGTCCTTCACAACGATTTAAAAATTATTCGAGAACCATAGATATATATTTCCTAATGAGGAAAATTTAAAGTAATATTATGACAAGTTATAGTATTAATTATACCTTTATTAAATGAAGATAAAATCACACACAAACTTATAAGTACCCAAAGAGCCGCATTTGGCTCGCGAGTCGCAGTTTGCCGACCCCTGACGTAGATGATGGATTCGTAACTGTTCGAATAGTTTCGTTGTTCAATTGGGTGCCACGATTCGGTCGTGCCTTCGTGCTCGAACGAATCAAATCTGGAAACGTGCTGGGTATAGCACAACGAGCGTGCTGAAATTTTAATTGTACGGCGGTTAGAAAGTCGAGTTAGAGATTCTTAGTAATTGTCTCTGAACTATGGCAATTACACGGTCACTATAATTACAATATCACTGTCAATCAAGGACAGTGGTCACACAGAAAAATTCGAGTCGATCGTGATCCCGTTCTCTCTAAGATCGACCACGGTCGATAGTTCGCCTACTGGGGGTGAGTTCTTATATTATGTCGTCGTGACCCTTCCCTAGTCGCGCCACGCACGCACGCGATCACGCGTAATGTCCATTGTCGTCGTGCATAATGACGGGTGACTCGGAGTAACGTTTCGAAGTCACCGCCATATATACAGGGTGTCCCACTATTGATAGTACAACCGAGAATGGGGTGATTCTACATGAGAAAATAAGTCGAAAATATGGAATAAATTTTTTTAATCTGAGGCTTTCCTTTCGAAATAATCGAATTTGAAAATCTGCTGGATACGCGTGCAATTGAATAGGACTAGCGTGTCTGTCCATTGCATTCCGTTTCTACTTAATACCACGACCAATGCACGCGTTCCAAATTAATTTTCAAATTCGATTATTTCGAAAAGAAAGCCTCCAATGAAAAAAAATTTATTCCATATTTTCGACTTATTTTCTCATGTAGAATCACCCTCTCTCCGGTTCTACCATCGATACTGGCACACCCTGTATACACGATTCTCGAGGCGTCCTCCGACTGGGGACAATGGGGGGAGATCTCTCCCGGCCTCCATTGTGCCGTCCTAAAATATCGCCCGCGATGCTCGAGCACTGGAGACCCCGCGGATCGATAACCACGGAGGAGATGCGGGGACTACGATAACTCCGGCATTTTCTCCGACTGGGCTGTTTCCCTCCGTCGTCCCTTGTTCCGTTCGTAAACACCGACCACCGACCGAGTCTGAGAGTCCAGAAGCTCTGGGCCAGATAAATTGTCCTTCATGGTTTAATTTAATATAATTTATTATCATTAACGGGAAGACCCTTTTTATACAAAAGTTTAACATCTTAGCTGTGGTCCCGTTTTTTTTAACCCTTTGCGATCCGTGCATTTTTGGCGCATCTAGGTAGTCTACTCTAAGAATTTTTACAAATACTTTATAACAAAATAATATTCGTAATTTTTTACAATACAGTAATAGCAGATTTGGAATATACATATGGAACTAATCAAAGTAATGGTATTAGTTGTATATTCATTTCTTTTCGTAAAATAAAAGAAGATAATGTGTTGATAGCTGGTAGTTGGACTACATCGTCTTTACTTGTGCCAGCTACATTGGTAGTTGGAACGCAAAGGGTTGAAAGTGTGTACCTACGTTACGTTGCTAGATGACGAATACACTCGTCAAACACGGATTATATGCAGCTGCTGTGAAATTGAATTAAATTATAAGGAAATAGCACTTGTTTGGTTTTTAAGATAAATAATTTTATTGCTTAGATTTATTTATATTATTACAATGACCTTATCTTTTCATCGCCGGAGTCATTCGATCCGTGAGAAACAGGCTCTGTTCCCTTCATAACGGAGATCCTTGGGAAAGATCTGACCCCCTTAACGTCACCAAGAACGTGTGGCGGCGGGGGGTGGCTGGCTTCGTGAAGCGAGCGGAGTTCAGCTCCGCCAGCTTTCGCCGTTCCAGTTTCTTTCCCATAAGGGGTGTCTGTCTGTCCCGTGTGTGTGGGGGGGTGGGGCACGTTCGATGCATATAATAAAAGCTATCTATTATCTTGAGCCGAGCGTGGTCAGTCCGTTTGGGGTGACCACAGTCACGGGGAGACCCAGAGGCTCTCTCCTCCACCCTGCGTGGGGCGGCTCCGAGGACAGCTGATACGTCCGACAGAGACAGGACAGACAGATAGACACACGGACGACTGGGAGGAGGGCGGAAAAGGGAAACGAGAGAATTAAAATGTGCACCGGTAGCAGCTCGTGCCGGCTGATATATATGTGTCGTGGCAGCTGTGTGTATTCGCCTTAAACCGTGAACACCATTGGCACCCCACGAACGTATCGTATAATTCCCCTTTCTCTTCTTCTCCCTCCATCTGTCTCTTTCCACGGGCCGTGACCAGCAGCCCTACCGGGTGTCTCGAGTGGAATTACTGTTTCCCTCCTCCCCATTGGCGTGTGGCCGTCCCGATGCGGCCGTCTGATCACTGACCGTGGAACACTTCTCTTTCTTTTTTTTTTCTCTCTCTAATTAGGCCCTTTTGCGCCGTACACCGGTTCGGCCGCAGGAATATTCACGGAGACGAAACCGTTGGATAATTTCGTTGACCTGTCTGAAGGAGTAATTCCACAGGAACAATGATCGATGCGTCCAGGACTTTTTATTCGAATTGTCGCGAGCAGATACACCCGTGTGTGCACCCTATATAACTTTCTCGAGCGTATCGAGGCACAGTGGCGGTGGTTTGAACGGAAGGGGAAGTGGTAGGGGGCGAAAAAGGAGCCCTTTAAACCAGAACCGGTCTGGGAGGGTGGGGTCGTCGCCCCTTTAAATTATCCCCTCTTGTTTCTATCGGACCCTTCCTTCACGGCCCTTGCCAACCGCCACCACCGCCTGTTCTTTTCACGCTGTGTTTTGAAAGTCATTGTCAGATTACGTCAGCATCCACTAACGGGAACCGTGAATTTTCGTTGCGTCGACAAGCAGCAATAGCAACCCTCCTACGCGAGACAACGATGAATCAAACGGGGATTCCCAAGAATCGTCTCTCGAGAAATCGGAAAATATGTTTCGGCGGTCTGGATTAGGTTAGAAAGATTTTTATGTTTCTTTTATTTTTTTATTATTAATGTTCAAGTTAAGTATGTACTAATGACGAATTTATAATACATAATGAGCTTCTTAAACTTTAACTATTATTTTTTTACTGTCAAAGAGAAAATAATCCGATTCGCCTCGGTCTACTCTATACTCGAATAATGAGACGTCTGTAGATGAGATTCACAATATTTAGCTCGCTTTAGAGAGAAAAAAAAACATTTCGCGGCTGTTGCTACGCGCGTGTATACACGTTGGCAAAAACTGTGTCTCTGATTTCGTTCGAACACGATGGTTTCCATGGGTTGTATGTGGCCGAGAAGAGCTTGTGCATCGTGTATGTTAGGTACATACAGTGTTTTGGTTCGACAGACGTTTTTACGTCCTTCGAACATTCTGTCGACACGCGGCCTCATGCCTCGCGCGCTTATGTGTGTTTATACCCGTCCGTTTCGTTTCGTGTCTCTTCTTCCTAGGCCGGTCGTGTCGTTTCAGCTTCATTGAGAATGGCGAGAATTCCTCTCGTCTCCGTGGCTTCCTCGTCTTTTAGCGCTAAAAACGAGCGATTCCAAACGGCCAGACCGCCAGCCGCGAATCCACTTGATATCCCAATTGCAATTTTTCGTCCGGAAATCACTCTGGTTTCGTCAGAAATGGTGGAATACAATGAAATTCCTTCTGCGATTAAATACGCGAACGATTGAGAGCTTTTAAACGGTGTCGAATGGAATTCTGTCGTTTGAATGAAATTGTGCCAAATCTGATGAAAAAGTCAGTGTTACTCATGGAGGATTTACCAAAAATCCTCCATCTAAACTCGACCAATGCAATTTTATTATATGTCCAGAGAGGATATTTGCATTTTCGTCGTGATTTTTCAGAACGCCTTTGTTTTGATTCACAAATAATGGTTAAAGGGGGTAATCGATCACAGATTAAGATCCTCGGGATGCATTGTCTAGGACGAATCACACGAATAAGGGTGATTTCTGTCGAAGGTGGCCGAAAGGGAACAGAAACACCGTCGATGATATGTATACCTTGTAGAGAAAATCGTTCCTGTTTCGAGAGGGTGTAAAACGTTGGATGTTTTCGTTGCTTTCAGATTTCGTACGTAGTTAGAGACGTCCCCGTAGAAGAGTGCAATGATGTCGAACGGAATGGACACGATCGTGCAACAAAACGGTGGATCCACCCTCGGACAGGCCTCGCAGGAAGAGTCCAAGACGAATCTAATTGTAAATTACTTGCCCCAGAACATGACCCAGGATGAGATACGTTCGCTGTTCATGAGTCTCGGCGACGTGGAGAGCTGCAAGCTGATACGCGACAAACTCACCGGTAAGTTTCCGAACGATTTCTTGCAATTTTCTTTCCTACACCCTTGTGTCCCCCTGATCGATTTTGTAACGTCGAGATTTATCGATAGCAGAATAGATATTTCGAAAATAGTCTCGCTAGTTTGAGCAAATTGCAATCCTATGGAAGTGTACAATCGGTATTATCCTCGAGTCAAGAAAATTCGACAATAGCAAAATAGAAGGTCAAGCGAATTGCAATCCTATAAAATTATCGGTATCATTCTCTATAAAAAAAAAGCAATCGATGAATATTAATAGCAGATAGTCCAATGAATTCCCTGTTCGCTTTTGAGCCGTCATACACAATACCCGTTCGCTGTTCCCGCCAGTTTATTGATTTCCATCGAACCACGCGTTCAGTCTCCCTCCCGTCGTCTCGTTCACAGCTTGTTTGGTATCGGTGGAATCTCTCGAATCGTTCAGGGACATCGTCGAATCTCTTCAACCCGACGATGTGTTCACGGTGGGAGGGGGTAGGGGAGGAAAAAAAGCTGATGGACACACGGGGGCGATCGAAAGTCGTGTGGTAACGGACACCTGTCGATGACAGACGTGTCCGATACGAATCTCGTAATTTCGAAATGTACCGTAGACGTGACACGCCGCTGTTCCATCGATTTCGTGTATTCGCGATACGTATGTATGTATGTGACTCGTTTCTAATGGCGAGTTTCACGCGGGTTCACGTGTTTACGCGGATAATATCTGTTACACGAGGTATGATAAGGATCTCTTGATTTTCGGTGGTAGTCTAGAATCTTGTTACTTCACTTCGAAGAGAATATCGGGGAAGATTGGACATAATTGGTTTCTTATAGCGGGAGGGCAATTTTAATTTGCACTCGAAATTTGCTAATTTCTTGTAGATTTTTTTGTCCCACTCAGCAGACAATCTAGGGCAAATGGTTAGTCTACTTTTGTAACATTGTTATTCCATGAGAATTTGGATCGGAAGATAGTAAATGCTCGATGTGTGTTCGAGGCCCTCACTGATACGGAGAGGTCCCCAGGTGTAACGCTGACTTTTAACCCTTTGAGTACCGATTTATTTAAAAAAACATTTTGCATATGGAACAGATTTCATTGTTTGGTGCTCTAAGTAGACTGATACTCGTTTCAGCCGCATATGGCCTATAGTTCATGAAATATTTAATATTCAGTGCCGAGGAGCCTTCGAGTACTCATCAAGGATTTACCGGTATTATACCGGTATTTTCGGTTCTACCTTCGGCCTACATAACCCGATATAAGCCCTACCCTTATAGAAACCGAAAAAATACCGGTATTTATTTCAGTTTTCGGTAATATATCGGTTTCGGTATAGCTTTGATGGCATAATACCGGTATCAAAATTATGCCGGTTTAAATCTCTGGTTACGACTTACCCCGTGTTACAACCGGTGCTCCCCTGCACCTAAAACTGACATACTGTGTAATCCCTGGTTACGACTTACCCCGTGTTACAACCGGTGCTCCCCTGCACCTAAAACTGACATACTGTGTATTGTTTTCCCCCGAGTCATACATACATATATACGTCGCGACGTCTGGGCGAGAAGGATTGCGCAATGTTGCGCGTCCCTGGCCCCTTCTCATCCCTCGTTGGATTTCTCCCGCGAACGAGCGAACGGACGCGTAATCCGGAGCGTGGTGTGTAAGTTATGCGCGTCCTGCCGAATTCCCAACGGTTTTGAATCTCGAGAAAACCGCGAGCTCTCGGGCTAGCACGTGCGCGTCGCGTCGTCGCGGCGCTATTTCGAGCGGTCGAGTAGCGGGGGCGTCGTTTGGTTTTTGAGGCTTCGCCGCCTTTATATTCGACCTCGCCGATCCTCAGGGCCGTGTACCCGCGGCTACCGTGCGTTTCCTGTTGTTTTTTCTTCTTCTTCTCGGGACAAAAACATTTGACCGCGACGTCGAGCGCCTTGGCTGATTCCGATCGAGTTTTTCCGAGTCTAGGGTACACATCCCAATCACTGCCAATTATTAATTATTTTACGTGTTGTTTAACACAAATATACAACGAAATATATCTTTGGTAATTTTTGAATAATTTGGGAATGAAATGGCGAATATGCGGACGAAATATTATTTCTCAATGTTAAGGGTGAAAGGAGTAGTACTTCCCATAAAAGTGCAACAAAAGTGCACCAAATAAATTCTGTAATATAGTAATACACATTGTATGTAATAATATCTAGCAATAATATAGTAAAATAGAAAATATACAGTAAATTGAAAGCCAACATACGTTCCGCCAAAAGTCCTACTATAATTTACAGTAAACGGGTAAAATAAGAAACCTGTGTTAACCGTTGGCAAACGGTTCATTCAATGAGGCGTCGCGACGCGTCGTTGAGATCGCTGAACGATACACATTCTGTGTTGCAAAACGATCCGCGAGACTTCCGATAAATATTCACGTTCAGACGATAGACGTCGTTCCCGAGGATTTAATCGATGTGTTCGATCGACCTGTTTCCGCCAACCTTGGTACGCCAGTCACCGGAAGAATCGAAACGGTCATGTTTGTAGATCTTTCGTTGTGCACGTATCGATCGCTGAAGATTTATTTATTCGAAATGGTATCGTGGAATAGAGTGGGTACTTTCGAACATGCAATGAAATTCAAAGCTTCTTTCTGACGTAACTGCGCTTGTTGGTACAATTTCCTTTGAGCTAAGATAGTACGTTTCTGTTCCTAGTGTATTGAGACTCTTGTCGAACGTGTAAGAAACTTAAAGATATGTTGTAGAATCGAGCAAATATTGTTGTCTGGGGAGTTGATAGTCTCTGGACAGGCTCGGAGCAGAGATGGGCAGAATTTTATTCGAATTTTATTCGAAAATCTTATGCTGACCTTTATACAGTCAACCCTTACATTCCCAAATTACTTAAAAATTATCAAAGAAATATTTTGTTGTATTTTTGTGTATATTACATAACGTATAAATGATTCACAGGAACATTTTAACGTTTTCAAAACCGTTTTGCCATTTTTCGTTCGTTGCCATTTGGCAAATTTTTTTACTTTTATCACGCTTATATATATTCCCATTATGATATTATTATACATAACGAAACCCAAATTTTCTTACGTTTGACCAATAAACCCTCTTGAAGTATTTGAAAGAAATTAGAGTTTGTTAAGTTTTTATTACGTAATACGTTTATACAGAAATATGCACCGTGATGATTAACAGCTTTCTTCAGACGAGATATTATCCGCTATATATATATATATTATAATATATATTGAATTTCTATAAAAATTTGCGTTTTCACATTATATAAATTCTTTAAACTCTGCAACTACCTGTTTGAATGTTTTGTTTTCTTAGAAGGAGCTCCCGATAACGGAAAAAGTGATCTCTCGTTCGGGGAAAAATCTGGTGAATATCGTGACCAATGCAAGATTTCGTAATTTTCATTCAGCTGACTTTGCAACGACCGAATTTAATCTTCACATTGGAAAAGTATTCGAAACTATTCCCTCGGTATCAGTACTGCTTTACTTACGTGGAGATAATAGTTTAAACAATCACGACGAGAATTCAATGATCAAAAACGAGAATAGAGGTTTTTCATTCGCGTATCCGTAGGGGAAATTTTTCTGTTCTCCATGGCGGTTTACCCGTCACCGAAGTTTTTAATATTTCTTTGTTACAGGTCAGAGTTTGGGTTACGGTTTCGTTAACTATCAGCGGCCTGAGGATGCCGAGAAGGCTATCAGCTCGCTGAATGGTCTTCGTCTGCAAAATAAAACGATCAAGGTAATGTCTCCCCACCCCCTGTGTAGTTTAAATAACATGTTATTACAGAGGAAAAAAATGATCGACTATAGAAAACAATCGAATTTATTCTCTTGGTGGTACTCACGTTCGTCCACGGAATTGGCTTTAGCTGAAAAAAACGGAACATTGTATGGCCACATGTCTACACAATTCGTCTGAGATGTCATTGTATACGACTCGGACGATTTCCGAAAACTCGAAAGACGGATTCCTAATAGTCGTTGCATTGCAACAGTGTATGCCCGCAATAATAGAAGCAGCCTGGCGCCGATTCAAACGCGTTTTGTCGAGCCTTGCGTGAATCAAACGACGTGATTATCGCGCGTGGAAAAGAGTAGTTGTCCTAGAACTCTACCGAGGCGTGTAGAGAGAAACTTCGTTGTCTAGAAAATCGAATTTGACTATCAATTCATTGTTTTTTGAAGTACATTTAAAATAAGCACTTATTAGGCAGTTATTGGAAAAAAAATTAAAAAAAGAATTAGAAGTACAAAGGGTTAAGATACCGACCAGGAGTGGCCATACGTGTGTCTGTTTATTTCTCACCGTTTCCACTTGCGACAGGTGTCGACAGTGTATGTCCGTCTATTACACACCGTTTCCACTTGCAACCTGTATCGACTGTATTACGCTAGAATCACACTAGAGCGGTCAAAGGCACAGTTGGATCACAATTAGTCCATCTCTCGTTTTCCCGATTTAATTTGTCCCTCGATCGTCTAATCGACACAGTGATAGAAAAATTAATATTTAAGGTGTTGATTGAAGTAGTTGACAATTGAATACAGAATTGATTCACAAATACCACGTACCGACACTGGACTGTATCAATAATTATAAACCACCCTAGTATAACGAAGAGATTAATAATTAAATTTGCAGAATCTTTAAACTGAAACTTCCCATTATAAGTGTACCTGCGATTCCGTTTTTGATCAAAATTCAACTGAGTGGTGCAGACTCCTCTCAATTATCGTCTGGCTTGTTCTACAAGATTATTGTCCCAGCGCGGACCCGAGTTCTGGACGATAATCGAGAGGAGTCTGTACTTCGAAGTGTTCGTAATAATTTGATCACCCACTGTACAAGAACCCTCCATCGGATCGTTTCATCCTCCACTTTATTCTACTAACGATCCCCCGACTAATTAACGATATCCTCTGTCTCAGGTGTCGTACGCGCGACCAAGCAGCGAGGCGATCAAAGGCGCGAATCTCTACGTGAGCGGTCTACCGAAGACGATGACGCAACAAGATCTGGAGAATCTGTTCAGCTCGTACGGCAGAATCATCACGTCGCGGATACTGTGCGACAACATGAGCGGTAAGTTAATTTCGGGTATTATTCGGGATTTTTGCGTTCTCAGCGACGAGAGAGGATCGTGTCGACCACATTTAGCGGGGCCCTGTGGAAGGCGAGGGGACATGCATACACCTGTACACACACACACACACACACACACGTGCACGCACGCATACATACATACAAACTTTAAACACAATTCTCTAGAGCAGCGCTGCCCAACTGGTCCCCAACGGTTCTAGGTATGTAGATAACCGATCGAAGAAGCCCAAGACCTCTTCTGGGGATAGGGGATCTCTTGTTGCTAGGCCAAGCACAGCTGATGGAGATCTGTCGCGGTCGGCCAGAGGTAGGAGAACAGGAGGTGTGTCAATCTTTCTCTTTCACCACGTACACCCTCCACTCTTATTTACGTAAACACGCTGGCTCCACAGAGGCTCTCAGAGAATCAAGGATGGTGTGCATCCACCAGCTGTGTTAGAGTGTATTGTCCACTCTGTACGGGATGAGCACCTCATTGGGGACGGGTAGGGAGATCCAGGCGATCGAAACCCTACGATCGTCTGTCTGTTCCCTTCGTCTGTCACTGTTTACTTTGGCGTTCTCCACCATCAGCTGTGCTCATCCTGGCGGCACGCAGTGTATCCTATCATCGTCAGCGTTCAACGATAACTCGCGGTGACAGTAGGGTCTCGATAGCTACTCTGTCCCTGAATAGTTACTCCGTCTCTGTAGATCCGACGACGAGACGTTGTTACAGGGACACCGTTTCCCTATTCGGAAGCAATGGTATTGATTATTTTTTCTTCTCATTTCCGTCTTTGGAAGGACGAAATAGACAGCGAACAGTGGATATACGACGAGTTGCTGACGTGTTCGGAACGAACGAAATTGGCTATCGAGACCGGGGATGCCATAAATAACCCCCTCGAACCATGGAATTTTCTAGGAAACATCGCTTTTGTCTTGCGTGGGCGAATCATGTTGCACGCTGTACCCTGTGGTGATTAATGGTACTAATCTACGGCAACGTCGTTGTATAAATAAATATACAGAGTGACCAAAAATTATAGGACAATCCTTAACATATATATTCCTTATGCAAATACTAATCGAAAAGTTCTTTACCGTTTTGTAATCTGAAGCTCCATTTCCGAGATATTAGCGGTTGAAGGAACTCCAATCAACTGAGCGGTCAGCCATACTTCAGATTACGAAACGGTAAAGAAATTTTCGATTTGTATCTGCATAAGGAATATGCATGGTGCGGTTTGTCCTATTATTTTAGGACACTCTATATACATAATAACATAAATGTATGAATTTGTAAGTCCGTCTACGCGAGACAAGACTCATATTTCCTACAAAATTCATTGGTTCGAAGAGGTCCATTTCTGGCAACCCTGATCGAGACCCTACGGTACTTCTACACAGTCTGTCATCCCCAATCGTGACGCCTACTCGCGACTGTTCCTTTCTCAGGGCAGTGAGCAAGAAACGACCAAGTTGCGCAACGCTGCTCTATCAAGGAGAGTTAGGTTTGTATCGGAACCCGATGTTTTCGTAATCTTGCAGGTGAGCAGGGTGCCCCGAACTACCTGCATTAAGTTTCGGCAGAAATTCTTATTTAGCTTTTCTAATATTTAAAAATTTTCTACTCCTTTACTTACGTTTAAATGTTATTAATAAACTGAATAGCAGAAATATCTACGAACATTTTCATACCTGTCCCCTAAAAACCGTTAAAAAAACTACCCCGAAATATGATCTGAGCTAAATAGGTTTTTCGAATTTAAAAAATTCCTTATAACGATTGTTGGGGGACAGGTACGATAATTTTCATAAATACTTCTGCTATTGAGTTTATTAATACTATTCAAACATAAGTGAAGGGGTAGAAAATTTTGAAAAAACAAAGCAAAGGTTTAAATGTTGCATACAAGGGGTGTGTGTTCCTACCCTAAATAAAAATTTCCACCGAAACTTAATGCAGCACACTTGGTAACTCGAGGCCCCCTACTCGTCTGCAAAATTACAAAAACAAACATCGGGTACTGACACCAACCTAAGCTCCTTGTAAGGGGGAGAAAGAAAGCCGTGAACAAACGAAAAGAAAAATCCCAGGGACGCGCAGAAAAGTGACGACTACTGTCCGAAGTAGATCGGAACCGTGTGGCGAGTCGGACACGCGTCGAAAGCAGTCCTCGTGCGAGGAACAGGCCATATATATATGGGCTTTCCACGCTCATTTTCATTTCTGCAGGGTGGATCGGTGCGCCTGTAATCTGCAATCGACACACACGCGTTCGATCGTCGAGAAATCGATAGAAGTCGAAAGAAAACCGAGTCGAGAGTGAAAATAATCGAGTCGTGGTGGATCGACGAACGAACCCGCTTCCACGGCTTTTCGTTCGTCGATCGTGATACCTTTCTTCTTTTTTTTTTGTTTACTTCACTTTTATTCAGTTTTTTTATATTATTTTTATTTTCGTTTGTTTGTCTTTTTTTTTTTAACTACGTGAACGAGAAGGAACCACAGGTTTCCGCCTCTCGTTCGACCGTATTGTTTCTCGCATAAACCCGTATCACGCACAGCCTCTCACGGCCTCGCCACAATACACCCATTCTCCAATTTTTTCAATTACATGAAGACGCTTCTTTTCCTTTTATAGTCCTTCCACTCCCAGAAATTTTTGTTCTCTCATTCACACCAGCAACGTCGACTAATTATTATATTTGTTTTACGTTTCAGTTTATTAAATGTTACACACACAGACACACCGTTTCCTGTATCTGGCATTAAAACGTTTCAGGACACGGATCGTGGTTCCGCGAACACCTGTTTTCCCGCTAATTTTCGTTTCGTTTTGCTTTTCACAGTTCCACCGAGCGCGGTCCTCGATCCTCGAAAAAAAAAAAAAACACTTTTTGATTACCAATTTTTACGTTTCTGTTCTTTCTATTCGTTCTTTCGCCCCGAAAATTCACCCCGAGTATACAGGGTGTTTCGGGTCTGGTAGTGCAATTGGGCAAGAAGTGATTCTACAAGAGAAAATATGTCGGCAAAAAAAGAATAAATATTTTTTGTGCGTTCGAGATTTTTTCTCGAGAAAATTGTATTTGAGCATTCATCTGAAACGCGTGTATTCGTGCTGGCAATAAGTAGAAACTATCTGCGGTGAACAGACGTGTTAATCAAGGCGTATCTAAGAAATTTTCATGATCGATTATCTCGAAAAACAAAACATCAGACGAAACAAATTTTCTTCTTCTTTTTCGACTTATTTTTTTTTTCTTATAGAATCACCTTCTACTCGTTTCGTAGCACCCGACCTGAAACATCCCATATATTTGTGTCCCTTCGTTTCACGATATACGTAATAATTCGGAGCTTTTTGCATAACTTAAGAACGAAGGGAGAGCAATAGCGTAATTAACAGAATGAATCGCTCGCCCCTTATTCGTCTCATGCGATACCAGTTTCTTTTCTCGTCTGTTTGAGTTTGAACGTGTTTTCTTTAATTTTTTTTTTCTTTTTTTTGGATTCGGTCGGACACCGAACCGCGTACACTACCGCTCGTAAGCATATTAGTACACCTGGCCTGTACGAAGACAATGTAATGTTTCGTGAAAATGATTTATTTTAGGCCACTTATTAGTATCACTTAGAGTTGCGTCCACACTACATAGCAAAACAGTGTTGTGTGACAAAACGTTATATAACCTTGCTGTTGTACAACATTTCACATGTCCATTATTCATAATGATGTCACACTTCATGGATAACATATAACTTGCTGTGTATAACACGAAATATGTTATATAACATTTTTCTTTCTGCTTTCCCAACAAGCTCTATAACTTTGCTATATAACATGTTATACTACATAGTGTAGACGCAGCTTAACTCTTTGACTGCCACAGTGAGAAAGGTCGTTCGTAGTCAGACACGCTTTATTTTGTTAAGTCATAATTCTTCGAAAATGTATTTGCATTCAGTTAACACAGGCTGTTGATCTTGTTTTAAATTATACCGCGATATTAATCTTACGCCACAAATTTTTAACGGTATTTAAATGAAGTAGTAATCACCCGTATTTGGGTGATGTGGCAGTCAAAGTGTTCAACAGTATTTATTTCAGACTTTTATCAAATTTCATAATGCCTAGTGACACTCGGTGTATCTACAATGTGTCCTAATACTTACGAGCGGGGGTACAATATATTTCGACGATCTTTTCTTCATTTTCCGGTGGCGTTGAATCGGAATTTCAACTTTTCATTTTTCGAACGGAAAATTGTTTAAATCGACGATTCAACGCCGCGGCGAGAAGAAAAAATCGTGATCTCTTCTTTTTTCCTTCTTTTACGGGTCTTTCGATTCATCCTTTCGTGTTTCGGTTTTTTCGTTCTCCTTTCATCCCCCACCACCCCCTGTCGACGAATCGGGGACGAGCGACTCGCGTCATGCTGCCAGTTTGAATTTTAACGTGATATGATTTTTTCCGTTTCTGTTTAGTACGACAGTTTCCGACCGGCGGCCGAGACTATTTTCAGGGTACGTAACTCATACAACTCTTTTTTCTTTTCCCTTATTACGCCGGAACCACCAATGAGTAAAAACAAACGAAAACAAAAGCAGCCGGTTTCATCTCCATCTACCACTTCTTCTTCTTCTTCTGCTTCTCCTTTTTCAATTGGCATTCCATTTGACTACTTTCGGTTGAAATTTCACACCAGTTTGGTGAGAGCTCATTTCGAGATCGCGAGATCTATCGAAGGAAAAGGAAACGTTCCACGACGAACGCTTCCTTTCCCCGAGGAAGATCCGAACTGAAAAACAAAAAAAAAAAAACAAAAGCAACGTTATTACCTTTTGTAAAGCTGCGTCTACAAAACAGTGCTGTGAAATATATGTTTTTATAGCCTATTACAAGACTATACACTCTAATATATAATATATAACTTGTTGTATATAACACGAAAAATGTTATACAACATTTTTCGTTCTTCCAACAAGTTTTATAACACTGCTATATAACATGTTACGCTACATAGTGTAGACACAGCTTAATGCACATTTTCGTTTCATTTTCCGTGTCACATGATTCGTTAAACACTCTGTACTTGTTCTTCTTTTCACACACGTTTCTAATCGGCTGCTTTGTTCATCAAAACAAAAAAAATAAATAAATAAAAAACAGACCCCCCAAGAAATCCTCCCGAGCGCCGTTTTTGTTTCTTTACGCTTATATTCGTCGTCCGTTATGATTTCCCGACCGTGCTCTCGATTCTTTTCGTTCCCATTTCTCTGTCCGAGCGCGGGTCACCGACTCTCGCTCTCGCAACCCACACCCGGTGGCGTCGAGAAAGCGAAAATCCAACGAGCGAATGAATGAAAAACGAACTCGTAAACGGTCGTTGTCGCACGGCGGATTTAAAGAACACGGCCGTCCCTTTACCAAAGCTCTTTCGAGAACACGAAATCGGTGTAAAGAAACGAAGAACCGCGCGCACCGAGCCACTCGTCTCGATATGCACGATTTGGCCCCCAATATATATATATATATATGCATATGACACACATATACAGGGTCAGTCACTAAACGTCTGCACCTCAAATATCTTTGTTGTTTTTAAAGACACGTCCAATGTCTTAAAGACAAAGTTGAATGGTTCAATGGGGATCACACGATACCAAAAAAATATTTCTTTTTATGTCATTTATTTTAGAGATATCAAGGTCACCGTCATTTTTCTAAATGGAATCACCCTTTTCTAAACACTTACAATGATAGTCCCTTTCATTAGGAATTCAGTGACTATAACTATTCAAGGTCACGGAAAACAGGGTGGTTGCATTTAAAAAAATGAAGGTGATCTTGATATCTCTAAAAAAAAAATGACATAAGAACAGAAATTTTTTGGCATCCTGTGAGCCCCATTGAACCATTCAACTTTTGACGTATCTTTAAAAACAACAAAGATATTTGAGGTGCAAACGTTAGGTGACTCACCCTATATATGTGTATATATGTATATGTATATATGATATATATGTGCTCGTTCGATCTCACGGGGAACAACGAGCGATCATGCAGCGTGTGTTGCAATTTAATGTGGTTCGTTAACGGTCGAATAGATCGTTTGCGAGCCGTCACGCGACCAGACTCTCGCCGTCTGGTATTATTGTTATTATTATAATGTTATTATTATTATTATTATTATGTATAATCAGTTGATTCTGTCTGGAGCTTCCTGGCATAAATTATGTCGTCTCGAGGAGAAAGAGAACAACATTCCGTCTCGACGAGGCTTGCTACAGCTGGTTTCGTTCGAGGGATGTTTTCGGAGATATCGGGGGCTGTGTCCACTTTTTTTTTTCAAAGAATTTTCGCGACATTCTCGATGTTGTCGATGGATGTACTGAAATCATGGAAAGGGTTGTTCGTCATCGGGACGAAAGAAATTTCTAGGCTGTATCGTTGGAATGAACAGAACACGTTTCTGATGTTTGTCCAAATACCGTTGGGTGAATATAATATTCGCACTGGGGCGGCCAGTTTTCAGCATTAACTTTGTGTAAGTTGTAAGATTACAGAGTAGTTCATAAATATTATATGAAACTAACCTTAATCGTATATTGTGTGCACTTGGATTAATATAAACGATGTGTCTCCTATTCTTGTATAATCTATACTCCGTTCGGTATTTATTGTGTTTAAATAGACCGTATGTTTCGTGTATTTACAGTGCCTGCATACAGTTGTCCAAAACCTCGTATAAGAGGAAAATTTATTGGACCCCTTGACACAATAGAATGCCATAATACTATTCTGTTAATTTGCGTCCACAAAGATTCACATTTGCATAAATGTTCGTGGTTTAATTACTCCGATATTCAGACACTCTATGCGTTCGGTGTATGTCCATTGTAACTTTGAAGTCACATACACAAATGGCGTACACATCATGGTCCTATAATCTTTTTTCGGTAACTAATAAGATTCTTTACAACGATTACCGTAACTAACTTGAGATATCGGAGTAATAATCTTTTTAAAAATTGTAAATTCATTGTTAATTTGTATTTAGAGGTTGATATTTGTTGGGTTTACGTTAAAAAAGAAAATTCGGTCAATAGAGGAGGGTCTTAACGCTCTCCAATACCGGAGGATAATATCATTGGCGACTCGAGCGCACCCCAAAGTCCACCCTGCCCATGCATAAGGGCTTCAGAAGCAACGGTTCTGTTCATTCTTCTCTTCTTTTTAAAAGAGCGTGGAACGAAAGCCCTAGCAGCATCATCATCCATTCGAGGGTGTTCCATGCTCACGTCACGGATCACTAAGCATCGAGCGCAATTTTTAATTACACCGGGTTCGATCCGATTTTTCTTTTTTCTTTTTCGGTCAGCCAATCATTCAGAAGCTCTGCGCGCACACGATCACTGGTCCGTGACGCGAGCTCGAATAACCCTGAAATAATTTCTCCAGGACGAAGTCGAGCGCGAGGACACAGTTTATGGTTCACACGGTAGATCCTCCCGACGCGAGCATTTTTCATGAATATATGGTCAGACACGAGTCAGAAGACAATTGTAGCGATGAACGTTCAAAGAAGATTATCATTTTGTGCGACAAGTCGATAGGAAAGTTTACTGTCTTTCTGGATCTTATTATTCTTCTGGAAAAATAGAGTATATGGATGTGCATTGTGTATAGAGGACGTATCACCTAAGGTGATCAGCTTATTCTACTGCTAGCTGTTCGATCGAAAATTTATTTGGTTGGTCCCCCCACCTATTGTTTTCGTACAACAGATGAAAATCTCGACTCTACCGAACTTCAACTTGTCAATCAACCCACGAGGTAAACAATCTGAAAAAGAATTACACGTGTATTTTACAATTATAGCAAGGGGACGTAACGTTACGTGTCAAGAAAAAAAAAACGAACGGCCACTTATTTCCTAAGCCCAATACATTAAATCCTCGATGAGTGTCCGAAGGTTCCTCAGCACTGTCCCCAGGTCGAACGGTGACTTTTCAATGAGACTCAGCACAGTGATAGATCTTTGAATTCCGAAGCCAATGATATTTATTTCAGCCGTATACGGCCATTAGTTCATGAAATATTTAATGTTCAGAGGAGCCTATGTGCGCTCATCGAGAATTTACTGTATAGTGTTCTGGTGGAGGGGAGGAAACGTTTAGTAATCGGAGGATCTACCGTGACGTCCACGAGGCTCGAGACATTATCAACACCTATAAAAATACCACCACAGAAGATAATAGAGCGTTAACATTAAGAAAGAAATGTAAAAAATAATCCAGAACCGATTCCGACAGGATTGTCGAAGGGGGTTGGTTTCATAAGGTTCGACCAGCGGGTCGAGGCCGAGAAGGCGATCCAAGAGTTGAACGGTACCATTCCAAAGGGCTCGTCCGAGCCGATCACCGTCAAGTTCGCCAACAATCCGAGCAACAACAACAAGGCAATACCGCCGTTGACCGCCTATCTGACGCCGCAGGCGACCCGACGATTCGGCGGCCCGATCCACCATCCAACCGGCCGCTTCAGGTACATTCCACTGTCGCCACTATCCAGGTACCTACTCGCCTCTACTCGCTCTACCCAGAAATCTCTTTCTCTATCTATCTATATCTCTCTATCTCTCTTTTTTTTCTTCTTACTGTCTTTCTCTGATTTTCATTAACTTTTTCCGTTTCCTAGTTTCCGTTCACACCTCTTTCTTCGTTATCTCTCTCTCTCTCTCTCTCTCTCTCTCTCTCTCTCTCTCTCTCTATCTCTCTTCTTGTCAGTTTCGTTCGGTTCCCATCAGTTGTTCCGTATCGTTCAGAATAGATACGTGCTCTGAACAGATTATCGGAATGATCGATCGATCGATCGATCGAAGTTGATATCGATTGTAATTTCGTGGATCGCGATGAGTGAAATGTAGAAACGTTTGATTGGTAATTTTTTTTTTGTTACCGTTGTTTTTCGTGGATAAGGACATAGATTTGCACGTGGATCGATCGATCATCGTCAGATCGTTTTGTATCTTTTCTTTTTCTTTCATTTTCCCCCCTGTTTACGCACTCACCGTTCGAGTACCTCGGTACACTGCAGGCTCCTTCTACTGCACCTCATATACCATACGACTCATGTTGTGTTACTTTGTTGTTGTTTCTGTTTTTTTTTTGTAATTTGATCTATTCTTTTTCATCGATTCGAACACACGTCGAACCACCACGAGCTTTTTCGTTCGTGATCCGCGCGCGTGGTCTCCTTTTGCGATCTCTCGGTCCTGTTTTTTTTTTTCAGCCTCTGTAAGGTAAACATATACCAATGAATGAACACTTGGGAGATTTTGTAATTATTAAAGTCGGGTTTTAATTGAAAATGATATTAAGAAATATTTGGCACATGAAAAGTCTATACTCTTTTATAATGTATCGATTTAATGTGAAAAATTGGAAAAATTTAATCAATTAAATTAAATAGAAAAATACAGATTTCACCAGTGAATGAACATTATCTAGCAAATGAAGATTTCCAACCGATGCCGTGAAAATTGTTTGAATATGAACAAAGAATTTAAAGAAATCAGTATTTAATCATTTGCTTATTTTAATAGCTTAATTTACTCGATTTTATATATAATGTTCATTCACCGGTACGTGTTCATTTACTGGTGCATTCTACGTTTCGAGAGTCCAAAGTTCGTGCCACAACATCACTTCCAAAGTTGACAATTTACAAACTTCTTTAAAATTCATTTTTTCAAAAACTAGGCATGCTGAGAAAAATCGGTTTACAGATTCGTATTCAGCTTAGAAAAATCTACCAGAAACATCTGTTAACCGTTACGAGGTAGGAGAAAAAAAGTTGAAATTTGTCGCACAGTAATCGATCGGAGGGAACGCGCGTGTAATAAAAGTGCACCGGGAAATAATGCGGGCCAAACAGGTGCAACAGTCTCGAGCGTATTCGACGGGGAAGCCTTTCAATAGAGAACACACGAGGGGGATCGATGATGCGTCTCGATATCAATATTTCAACGGCGTCGGTGGCGTCGTCGCGCTACTCGAAATATATCGGGGCTCGATCCCGATTCCGGGGATCGCGATATCAGTCAATTACGAACAATCCCACGAAGTGAGGCGACGTTTTATTTTAATCCCCCTCGAGCGTCGATATATCTCGGAGCGTATCCGACGTTTCTTTATTATCGGGACGCGTCGAAACGTCGTTTCTCTTGATTAACTTTTTTTTTTCTTCCACCAACTCCCACCCTTTTACTTTGATTGGATAGATTTTCTGTACGATCCGTTCCACTCCTCCATCCACTGTCACTTCCCTGCAGATCCTGGAATCCCTATCCTAGCCAGCAACGAGTGGTACAAGGTGGTCTTTAAATTAAATTACTGATCAGTGGACCGTGAATCATTACGCGTTTCACAGAAGATCGAGCCAAATATACAATGAAACGTAAATATGTTTATTTTATTCTGAACTTGGAAGTAATTTATATTTTCATTCCTGTTCACGTGGATTAAGTTGGTAACAGTGTCATTTCGCGTAGAGATCCTCGGTCTACTAATTATAGTTAGAAATAATTATATATATATACATATATATTAGATAAGTGTAAGTGGTCGATTGTGCAAAGAGTCACAAGCTGATTCCGTGAAAGACTCATCCTTGACCACTCTGGGAACATGGAGGAGCAAGGCACACACAAACGTTCTTCTTGGTTCTTATAACGTTTTGTTGCTTCTTATCCTCGCGATCTACGGTAAGAGTGTTCACGGTAATCGATCGAGTAAAGGTGTATCGTATAACCTTCGTCGGACACGGCCGCGTGCAAAAGAGGTATCGAGCCAGGATCGTTGTTCCACGATAACATCTGAATGTCAGAGGGTCGCATTCGAATGTTCTTGTCGCGTGAGAGAGATTGCTTTGAAATTAATACGTCGTACGTGAAAAATTACGGGTGACGAAATCGAAGTGTACTCTTGTGTCAACTATCGTTATGTATTTCCTGAGAACACTGCGCAGAGAGTGACGCAAGTGTAAGGCCACCTAATTCCTTGTAAGTATTCGACGTTACAGATCTCGTTTCATACGCATTTCACCGTGAACCGCGAGGCTGACGTGAAATTCGATTGAAAACGAGGTAATCGAAAAACGTCGATGACGATCGGAATATGGCTCTCGTGCACGACCGCCGCGTCAACTTCATGTTTTTTTAGATAGAAAGACCTGTTTTTTTACATACCTTTATAAGTAGATCTTTATAGCCATTCTAAAACGTTCTACTAGATGGTTCGTAAAACATATCTTTCCATTTCAAAAAATGAAGTTGATCATCATACGATCTCTACGCGTCCACCTATCAAGAAACTATTTACATCGAATTATGTGCTCCTCGATACCATTCAAGTCTCGTGTGACACATTTTTTTCTATCACCAGTAACAGTCATGATACTGAAGTGGCCTGTTTTAGGCGTCTCACCCTGTATAACGCGTCTGCGTTTCGTTTCTCCATTTTCCTCAGAAGTTTCGATCTCGCGTACCTTTTTCCTCGATTCACCCGATAATTTCCGTGTCAGAGAGACGAGAAATGGTGTCGGAAGCTTCGCCGTTTCTCCCCGACTATAATTTTCCCTCACTTTTCGTGTTCATTCCGTTCAATTTACTTTCGTTATTGCTTCTCTTTCTTTCTATCTCTACATCTTTCTCTCTGTTTCTCTGTTTTTTCCTCTATCTGTCCGTTTGCGTTTGAGTTCCTTCTCGATGGGAAAAGGAAACGGAGAGCCACCAAATAGATAATGGTAGTCCCCCGTGAACGGAAATGAAAACGTTAGCGGAAGCACGAGGAAGCGACCGACACACACTCATACACACGCACGCACACAGAAAACATATATATACACACACACACATACACTTAAAATCCCTTTACCTTTTTTCGGCTCGTTCCCGGAGTATCTCTCTTCTTACGTTGTTCTTTTTGTGTTTTGTTTTAGCACTGGCAAGGCCATGCTTGCCATTAACAAAGGCTTACAGAGGTCAGTATTTTTTTCGTTATTACCGCTATGCTCCCGTGTTCCGGTTTTTTCGTTTCCGACACCAATTTCCCTTCTTCTTCTTCTTCTTCTTCTTTTACTTCTTCTTCTCCACCCTCATCCTCAGTGTGGTGCTTCGTTCTCTGTTACCGACACAAACACGCGTGATTTATTAAAAATTTCATATATGGCAATTCACCTTTAGATTTTCTTTCTCTAACCGGCTATTTCTGGGTCCACTCTGATCCGAAGTTTCATCGAAATCAAACATTTTTTTTAGAAATTGATTCAAGATACAAGTTGTCCATGAAAATATATAGGCATTTCTCGCAGGAAATTTATTCAAAACATTTTAATTTAAAAGAAAATGATATCAAGACTATTCTGTCATTCTATATGAAATTTTTAATGCTCTCTCTCTCTCTCTCTCTCTCTCTCTCTCTCTCTCTTTGTCTCGCTCGTCTCACACTGCTCTAATTTCTACCGATTATCTGTCCGAGAAATAAATTGTTCTTATCACGTTTTGTGTTTCCTTTTTTTAAAGTCTATCAAGATTTTTAGTTTCTTTCGAGTACGATCGTGAATTTCTGTCATATTGTATGAAATTTCTAAAGCTAATTTCTCTCTCTCGTCTCACGCTGTTCCACGTTTACCTGTCTCTCTGTCTCTCTCTGTCTTTCTATCTCTTCCTCCGTCACTTTCCATCATCTCTCGAAACGCTTCTCCACCCAGAGCAAACGTCACAAAGCATACTCTTAGGCGAGGATTCTCTGTTTCGAACGCGAATCGATTCGTATGCGTGGAGTGTTACATGCAGTGAGAGTCAAAAGTGAGTATACACTTTGAAAGAATGGGATTCATTCATATTTATTTCACTCACGTTTAAATCTTGCTACAGAAGTATTACCATGAATCTCACATTTTGTAAGGTGTACACTTAGTTTTGACTCTCACTGTACATACAGTGCGCCGACAAACAAAAGTTACCACTTTTTCGATTTGTTTTTGATGTCTTTCCGTTCACTTCCGGTTCCTTTTTCTTTTCGATCGTCTCCGCGGCGTTTTGTCCGAGATTTCGAGCTCTGTCACCTGTCGAATCGATCTCTTTCTTCAGTTATCGGTGCTTTTATTCACGCGTCGTATTTCGAAAACGACAACAGAAAAAGCCTTGCTCCTCGATCACCTGGAATCGCGACATTCGAAGAACATTTCTACGCGCGTACGGACTGTACAGATGGAATTGCCGCGGATGGATCGATCTTTCGGTCCACGGAGAATCGAAAGGATATTTCGTGTCTCTTTTTCTTTTTCGAACATTCTCTTCCGTCTTACGTTCTTCTCGTTTTTTTTTTCTTCGACTTCCGTTGCTCGCCTCAAGTCGGTCGTGTTCGATCCAAGATCGTGCACCCGCGCGATCTGACCTTCGGCCACTCTGTTCGTCGATCGATCGATCAATCGAGATGAAAGAGAAGGATTTCACGCACGATCAGCTTTCATGTGTTTGCACACGAATATTGTACAGGGTGTTTCGCTATATTGCAATATTAATAAATAGTAATAAATAAATAATATTCTAACCGGAGATTGATTAATAAGACGAAGATAGTTTCAATGGCTTTTGCGCACTGTGCAGACTTTGTCGATAATTACAATTCAGAGGTGTGCAATACAGCTATGTTTTCTATATAATATAGTGTTAAGTAATATTTAAAAAATAATATCAAGAGGTATAATCGATCTGTGCAAGTAAAGTACCGGAGAAAAGCGAGGCTCATTGGAACAAGTGGCAGTCAACGTGTTATACTTACACAGTTTTCATAATGAATTCATAGGTACCTCGTTACGTAGCCAAAAACGTTTTTAAAAGAGAAACACTCTGTACAGGGAACTGCAAAACAGGACTCTCACGACTTGCACAAGCGAATATAATATAGAGTAACTGTATATTCTCACCATTTTGCCCATATTTGTCCATCACATGTCGTTAGAGTAGAGCCGAGAGCAATCCTACGTGCACGATCTCCAACGACAGATAGTGATCACGTAAACATATCGAACCATAGAAATTGCACTTATCGTTGGTGCACGAATAATATCGCTAACAAAAGAATCGTACGTGATTCTTGTTCCAAGAAGAATGCCACCGATACATCGCCATTCTTCTTGTCGACCAACAAAAAACAATAATTCACGATAACGGTAACATTTCGTTCCGAAAATTGCCAATAATATCGATTGAACGACAAAACCGACGAACCCTTAACGTAAGTCTCCTCGGTTTGATATATTTCCTTTCGTTCGAGAAAAACGATTCAACCCTTGGAAGTCGCGACACCTGTGTGCTATTTAGTCCAGAATTTTTAAAAACTATTCCTATAATATTCGAATATAACACGGTACGAACACGTACCTGACATTAACGCAAGTGAAAACGGTCAGAAACGGTCAGACACAAATCCGATTCACTTGTAATAAATCTAGCCTTGTACATGCATTTTCTATTCCACCCTTTCGATTCATTTTTTTCGAGTAAGATCAACAACCCTGTCGGTACATGTAACGTCAGTTCGGCGAGAAGCTGAATATAGAGTAAAGTCGCGTTAACTGTGCGCGGAGAAGCTTCTACTGTCAACTGTTCACGCGTCATCCCCACCTCTGAGAAGTATTCCCCCTGGAATCAGTGAAGTGTATAATTTATTTCCCTTCGCGAAACCGACAACCGAACAAGAGGAGCCCCAAGAAAAGAATAAATGCCCGGTTATCGGTGAGAACAATAATGCAATAATTTTCAGCTGGCCACGTTCTTAGCTTTTGTAGATACAGAAGATAGAACTGATGGTCGAACAAATTTCTGCTCTAAATTTACGAGTGGTTGGAACGGTTTGACGGTGTCCACACATACCGCGCAGATGCGGTGCCGAATTTCCCGCAGTTAACGCGACTTTACTCTATTGGGGGAGAAATACACGTACGTTCCCGTCTTCCGAGGGGTAGTCGGTTGCCTTCATGATTTTCTTTTCATTTTCAGTGTTCAGAATTACTTCAATGGTCTCCCAGGCACAAAAGGCAAATTTTATCGAAAATTTAACAGTTTACTGTATAACTTAAATATCACTACCGGCAATGTAATATTTGACTCGAAGAAAACGAGTAATATTCACGTCTATTGCATACTAATTGTCACCATAACTCTGCCACGGTGTTATAAGGCGAAGGGTTAACAGACGAACGAAAGGAAACTTGGAACAGGAACGAAAGGACACTGGTTAGGGGGTTGGTTCGGTCTGACGCGAAGCAAGGGCTGTCCAACGAAGACGCCCGTAGTATACTGCATATATTCTCGCGTTCCTCTAATGACCGTTCGTTTTAACGAACGCGTAATTGCTCTCTCTCTCTCTCTCTCTCTCTCTCTCTGTCTCTCTCACCTCCCGGCACTGTACTGACTACTCACTGAGATGTGCCCTGTTTTAACGCGGCTTGTGACGTCAAGTAGGTACGTAGATACACATTTTTTCTCTCTACATCTCTGTAAATACGCTGTCCCCCATCCCATCCTCTTTTCCAACCCCTCGAACACGCCGTCATTCAGCCTCCTTGTGTGTCTCTTCGCTCAGAAATTCTTGCATGCCGATTAACGACCGCATGCCATCGCCGTAACGATTTTTTTTTCTTTGCTTTTTCCACTTTCTTTCAATTCCGTTCCTTTCTTTTGCAGTCCATTAATTGAACGTGCGCGCTGTTCGGTTCAGTTCGCGCAGCTTTTCTTTCCAGCCCGTACAGTTTGCATGTTGCCTTGCGCGATTCAACGGTTGCGTTCTCACGGGGCAAAACCGTTTTTTTTTTTCTGTTTCTGTTCTTTCATTTCTGGAATTCGTCACATCACGAGGCAGTAGTGTTTTTTCCTCCCCTCCCCCCCCCTCCAATTTAATTTGTTTTATTGTATTGTTCTGTAGACCTGCGCGACGAGTTTCACTACTCTCGCTTCTGGAAGATGTTTCGTTCGGCGATAGGGTGTGCACAATGACTTGAATCTTGAGAAATCGTGCATTTTCGGAGAATCGATGAAATTTTCATTTATATTTCGCATTTGATAGATACTGTTTTTCGCGTTGGTGTTTGTGGAAGAGGAACTTACACAGACAAGTCATTAGTAGCGATGAGTTCGTCAACAGAATGTTTTTAGTCTATACTAGACTACTAACTTTTGGAAAATGTCCTCAAGAAGTATGTGCTAAAGTATCCATAAAAGAAAATATATGCATACAGAAATCCATTTAAAAAATAATATCGAGTAATAATAATACTTTTATTAACATAAATAAAGAAACTTTCATAAACAAATGTTATTTTTAAGAGAATAAGTTGATGAAAAAATGTACGTTGTACGTGTATAATATAGAAGTCTATATTGACCACCACTAAATTATCAGTCGAGGATCGAAAATGCACGAAAAATTCCCGAATTTTCGTCGTCGATTTCATCGAGTGTCTTAAACTCGAGAATTCGTTTCACCAAGTTTCGCGATTGTCATCTGACAATACGTCAAACAACCACACTTGCAATTTGTTGGTCTTCTCACGGTGCACAGACCATCGCGAGTCTTGGTGTTGCTGAAGAAATCCACGATTTCGATAGAGACCACTGACGGTGCCTCTATCGAAATAGTCTGACCTGGTCGATTTAGTTCGACGATTGGTATCGAACGTCGAAGCTTTTACACAAAGAACAGCGCTGTCGATGCAACGGAGCCAGGCCGTTCGATAATTTATTTCCAGGAGGTCGAATAATTTGCATATAGCAATCAAGAAAATCGTTGCGGTGGTCCTTGTACTATTCGACGTGATTGCGGTATTACGCCTCGACTTTTGCTTATCGAAAACTCGCGGAACATGATTTACCTATTTCAACAATATGTCCCGTTACCAATTCGTACAATTCTTGCAGTTTCCAATCGAGTACCTGCAGAGATCGGCAAATTCATTATCTAGGTAAAGAGTTTCGAATAACGAATAAAGAACGATATAAAGATTGTGACGTAAAATCCGACCAAATAAATGCTATAGCTGTTCCATGAACAAATTTCTGAGTCACTGTGTGCGTTCTCCCCGGAACGAAAATCCGATCGATTCGAGGGACACCAAACTGCACGGCAGCGCTACCTACTTCGTTAAAGCCTCGCCCTTCGTTCACCGACACAAGCCACCCCCCACGAAACCCATCGACCAACACACATACACGCACATTGGTGTAAAAAAAAAAAAGGAAAAAAAAAAAAAAGAAAATTCATTCGACGGGCGAACGTTTTCACGGTATCGACGCGACTGTTCTAGGTACAGCCCGCTGGCAGGCGATCTGATCGCGAACTCGATGATACCCGGGAACGCGATGAACGGTTCCGGCTGGTGCATCTTCGTCTACAATCTCGCCCCTGAGACCGAGGAAAACGTGCTGTGGCAGCTGTTCGGCCCGTTCGGCGCAGTCCAGTCCGTCAAAGTGATCCGAGATCTGCAGACGAACAAGTGCAAGGGTTTCGGTTTCGTGACGATGACCAACTACGACGAGGCGGTGGTCGCCATTCAGAGCCTGAACGGTTACGCGCTCGGCAACCGGGTGCTTCAGGTCAGTTTTAAGACGAACAAGAGCAAGGCGGCATAGGACAACAAGCAGCAACCGCAATACAAACAACAGCAAATCGAACAGCAAGAAGAAGAGCAGCCCGAACAACAACAAGCAACGTCACCAGTAGCCACCACCACCACCACTACCAGCAGCAGCAGCAGCAACAATACCATGGCTGGGACGATTGTGAACGCGTCTACGACCGAGACGACAAAACTGGCGACGACACACGTCCCAATTAGCTCTCCGACGCATCGTGACATCGTGGACTTCGTGAACGCATTCCAGAAAATACCCCAATTCAAAAAATTCCAAATCCGCTTGCAGATGGCTGAAAAAATGTTAAAGCTTCATCAGGACTGGCAAGACTGCAAGAAAGACGACACCGATAAGTACGACTCCGATTGAACGGAGATATAAGGAGGTTCAGGGCCGGGGGGGGGGGGGGGGGGA